GACACAGACTTCGGTCGACCTGATCGATGACGATCTTCTGTAGAGTTTGTCTCAAGGAACCGCTGAATTGTACGTTTGATGAAGTTCCGGTTGTAGCCATTGTTCTGGAGCAGTCGGAAAATCTCGGTGGGAGACTTCCCAGCTTCGTGCAAACTGATCACAGCCGACCGACGATCTTCATTGGACAATGGCATGACGAAACTGATAGTTTCATCAGCACTTTGAGAATTCCCTAAGTCGCGCGTACCTTAAGTTACGTGTAGAAACCAAGCCAAGCATATATGAACGTGGTAGCTTAGAATCGAGAACAGTTTTTTAAAGTGTACAGAACTTTTGTGTCACCCTGTAGTATATTCTCTTGGGAATTTTAGTCACTGACTGCGACATTATTCTTTAATCACTCCTGATCCCATGGCAGTCAGAACTTGACATTTTGAGCACTAATGCAAAGGAAATTAATAATGTTATGTCAATTTTTCAAAGGAAATAAAAAATAATTTGTCTGGAATTAAAGGTCAGAAATCAGACCCATTGTCCTTTGATCTATATTTCCTTTGAATGTCCTTGAATTACATATAGCTTAAAATGGCATGGAAAGACCTTTAAAATGACACCAATATCAGCTTTTTATGTTGAATGGAACGAAACCTATGAGCACAAATGGTTTCCACACTTTCACATTTTTATAACAAAGCAGGATGGAAATCTTCACTTACGTCGTGAAGAATGTCCTGAAAGATACTTAATCGAAGACTCGTCGTGAGGTTGTATTCCTCGGAGCTGTGATGCATCTGATGAACTGCCCAAAACAGGTTTACCTCTGAAAATGCATATGCCTACTTTACAGTCAGTTAGACGATAGGAAGTACTTTTTTTTATGTTACTCTTTGAATCATGCATGATTTGAGTTGAGAATGACTATCACCTTCCCTTTCTTCAATTTTCCGCTTTATTGTGCATCCCTTATTGTTTAAAAGTTCATTATGCGAGCCTTATGTAAAGCTTTTCATTTGCAGAATTATCAGAAAATGAAATTTGGTTTTTGAAAATGAATAATGTTGCAGTTGAGACTCGGAAAACACGTAACACTCGGATATTTCTTTGGCTGTAGTGTTTTCACCTCATATGACGGGATGGGCTCTTCCTCGCACTGTTGGAGATAGATTTCTTTTACAATTTTATCATTTCTCTTTCAAATTTGAAACTCCATTTTCTGGCACCAGTATAACCTATGTCGGAGTTTCATAGAACTATGGAAACATTGCAGGCCACTCAATGAAGCATATGCCAGGATTTCCTAGCAAAAATGAGCAGTTTTGCAAGGGTTGAAAATTCTTGCAATCCTGTAGCTCTATTGCATATTGATAAGCTATCTTATCAATTGACAAGCATCTCACATTTAGATGCGAACTCCCAACGAAGACGAATGCCCCTTACACTTCACTTTAAAACAAACCTGTTTCCAACTGCATTCATCGAAATTCATGAAAAAGAGAAGCAGATTCACTGCTGCATTTTCTAAACTTCCATCACTGGTGCTCCCCTTTTGCTCTCCATTTTCCCACTTACTGTCTTCATTCCAGGGAGGATCATCATGAAAAGATTATATTGCAAGAAGGAATAGTACCCTTTTCATGTCACTTACCATGTGAAGCACGGTGAACGATGTAGTAAACAAGGTCAATCGAAAAAGCAGCCAGGATCCAGGTCCATGGTGAATCCCAATTGAGGTGAAACAGCCTCCATTGGTCATACACGTGGGAAAACGTCCCATGTATCATTCCTTTCAACATTATCCTGTCATTAGGAGCATACATTGTCGAGTAAATAATGATTCAATTAAATTTAAAAAAATTAATATGAATTCTACTTATATAATAAAATTTCCCTGTTCCCTGGTGGTATTTTTGTTGGTCGGTGTTATGAATCAAAATCTTCAAAATCTTCAACACAAAACGACTTTGAAGATTCATTTTGATGCATTAGGTGATCGTAAAATACCCATACACGCGTAACTTGGATATCAAACTATTCGTTCCATGTCGTCACTGTAGTACATACTACATCCGGGTGGAATAGTGTGCAGTAGTGTTAGAAATGTCGATTCCCATTTGGAAGGCACAATGTATTTTCTGGTTTGTACTGTTACAGTCTGCGACTACAGTGCAGCGACAATTAAGTATAGTGTATCACCAGAATCCACCAAGCAGAAAGGATAACACGTCAAAAGAAATTCGTGAATTTCCTCATTAGAGAAATTTTACTGCATTCAGGTCGGATGACCTAATTTACTTATATTCTTTCTTGTGGGGATACATGAAAGACATTGTCTACGCGCCACCATTTCCAAAAGATATGCCTGAATTACGATCTCGTATTGTACAATCGATCAACACGGTCTCTTCCAAAATGCAGGAAAGGGCATGTGAAAATATTTTTAAAATTTGCCATGTCCCCAAAGGAAACGATATCTGAACAGCATAAACCGTGCGAAGAAAAACACTTTGATGATTCTCCTGTTTTTTTTTTCTTATTGTGGAACATTGAACACTAGTGGTTTCGAGTGAGAATCCACCAAACAGGAAGGAGAGGCAACCTGCTTGGTGAATTCTGGTGGTACTCTCTACTGAATTGTCGCAGCACTCGAGTGACAAACTGTAACACCACAAGTCAGATAACAAATTGTCTCTTCCATATCAGGGAGTCACCATATCAAACACTATCCTAACGCTGCTGCGGCTGCTGTATGAACTACAGGGACGTCATGGAAAAGAAAAACAACATTGATATCCAAGATATGCGTGTGCATTACATAAATATTCTACGATCACCTGATGTTTCACAAGAAAATTTCAAAATTGTTACTGGAATATATGTACAGGTTCTTCATTCTCTGGCCTCTGAACCTGTTGTGGTCTTTGAATAGGCTCTATGGCAGAAATTTGCTGATTACCAGGATTTATCACAGGTATTTTATATCACCAAGAAGAATCATAGGTATTTCTTGAACAACAGCATCCACATCTGCCATAGGTTGCCCAACTGAAGGTGTTTGTGGGACTAGGACGACTACCTACAATTCCTCGTCTGCATTGTCATACTGATACCTGGAATATCCAGGCTTTGTCTGAGGAGGTCTAAAGAGTTGAAATTCCACCATTGTTTCATCACTCCTCCATGAAACTCTGCTCAGGTTATCAATATGCCCACGCTTGATTGTGTCTAACATGTCTTTAACATCCACTCCTCAAACACAGACTTTTTGTACTAAAAATTTCCCTGCCCAATTTCGACTAATTCATGACTGATTTTGTCATCCCTTACGGAAATGTCCTATAGGAAACCTATAGATATTTCTTATAGGAAACCTATAGACTTTCCTATAGGTTTTTGAAACACGAAAAACCTATAGGATCCCTATAGGGCCTTATAGGACTCCTGACCTATAGGATTCAGGGAGGATATTTTGGGTTTCGAAACCCAGGCATTACGACAGAAAAGGCGACCGGGGTTAATAATGGCGCAGCATTTCGGTGTAAATCAAAAACCGATTAGGGGTTTTTCCATGGTAGGGACTAATGCATTATTAATACCAGTAATGCGGGGGTCTGCATAATTTACGGCCCTGCCGCACATGTGTCGCTGGATTGCACGTCTACTTCCTTCGGTAGGAAGATGTGGTATTCTTCTCTCCATCAAAGGAAATAGAAGACAGAACCTGCGAGCATGTCTCTTTACTGAAACTCATTTTGGATAGGATCTACTCAGTTTCGTACGNTATAGGGGGATCTATAGGTTCTATAGGGGGATATATAGGTTCTTTAGGGAACTCTATAGGTCCCAAACTGAACTCTATGGGGCATATAGGATCCTATAGGATTCCTTTAGGTTCCTATAGGATTCCTATATATTCCTAAAAGAATATATAGACATTTTCGTAAGGGATTTCTACCAAACCATTCCCACATAGGGTTGGGACATGGGGTTGTGTGGGTCCTCTTTAACCCTAACCTATAGCAAACATTGGCCGGCAAAAGACATTCAGCGTTAGGGCCCTAATCTTAATGAAGGGCTTCTGGCAGCCTGTACCTCCAAAAGACCTCATTCTCCAATTCCTTGGTTACGGTTTTAGCACTTTGATCGGGAATTGCGAAAGCGTTTACCCAGCGAGTAGGTACCCATACGTATCTTGGTATAGTGTAATTCGCATCGAGATGCACTTGAAAGGAAGGAAATGAAACCATTATAGGCCGACTGGATGAAGCATCTGCAGTTGAACGAAAAATTATGATGATGCGTAATTTCGTCAGTGTCATTCTGTGACGAAATTGAGAATTGCGAAATGAGAAACGTTCATTTAAATATTTCAATTCGTATTAAATGCTAATAAAGAAATCATTCTAACGAAGGTATTATTTACAAATTTTATTCCCAAAGTCACTTATGGTCGATATTTTCGAATATTTATTCAATCTCATTCACAAAAAGTAATGTTTTTCGACGCATTTTATCCATGATACTGCCAAGAAATTAGTGAAATAGTGGAACAATTTTTGAACCATGTTCTTTGCCCCTACAAGAATCAGCTCATGGGATTTATTTGCATCGTTTCGCTCATCTTCATCAAGCATTTCTTTACTGCCGTATGAGAAGATGAGGAAACTCCCACTGACCGTGTGATTTCCAAGAGCAATCCCCCAGCTAGGGAGACAATGCCATCGTCCACTCGAATGAGACGTCTTCCTTGCTTCCAACGGATCATTTCTTCCAAGATGATCCCCAGAGCGAAATACGGAACCGTCTGCATAATTATAAAGTCATCTTTCGATAGATTCAGAAAGAAGAAACATTTCATGAAATATGGCCCACTTTGCGTTAAGAGTATCGTATCCTTTACCTGAGTTATATAGTTTGGAACATCCTCTGGCTTCTCGAATGTCGTTTCCCACGGATCCACTATGTAAAAGAGACGCCCAACCCCGCGGATCCCCGTCTGGATTAACCCTGTCACGTTCCGATCCATCCTGATCACATCGTTCTCACGAGCCTCCCCGAAATCGTACTGCATTTGGAACATAGGGAAAGAACGAAGCCCGCTATCGACCTGCACGGACGAGATCTAGGACACGACTGTGATCATATCTCGATAGACGGAACGCAGTTCCGAAAGTCAAAGCACATTGAAGGCGGAGTGGTGCGGGTATTGCACGTCACATCAAATCTTCACTTATTTCTATTCTCACACGAGTTCGTTGTGGTTTTACTCCCACGACTTAGATGATAAGTGGTGTAACTTGGCACAAGAGAGATGTTCGCGGGTACCAATTCGAAGATCGGACAAGCGGTATCAAGCTGAATTCGGTGTGATCTTTTTGATTCCGTGGACATCACCATTCCTTTGTTGTTTGGCGAACGAGATTCTTGTCAACCATACGACCCTGCCCTCTCCAAGGTCGTAAGCGTAGACAAGAATATCATTAGGGAGAATCACGTTGGTCACAATCATTCACGAAAGAAAATCATGACTCGAAAAAACCGCGTAGGACGGAATCCATGTCTTGAAGAAAAAATGCCTGCATTATCCTTAATATAATTGCGAGAAGCTGAAGCCCACATAGACAAGAATAACGTGGATGAGAGTACTCGTAAGAAAGAATCGGCATGAGTCTGAAATCACGTACGGAGGAAAGCCAGCGAACAAGAACGTATTTTTGAAACCACATAGGTAGGAATCACATAGCAAAGAAAGTGAGTAGCAGAGATTTGTGTAAGCAAGAAAACACCCAGGCAAGAATATGCGTAGACAAAAAAACTTAGTTGGAAAGAAAATATCATACAGAGGAAACCCAAAAAAACTATTACAAACTTTCAGAGGTAATAGGAATGAAGCAATGACAAGAAGTGCAAGCTGGCATTCCATTACAGTTCATTTTTTTCTTCGTTTCATCTAGAGCTTGGGATTCTAGTACAGAGACAAGGACGACATCTAAACATTCATGCAGAAGTGCTCTACTTATCTTCCTCTACTTATCTTGACTTTAGAGGTGGCATGAGTTGCTAGTTGCGCAAAGGATTATCCTACTCCAAAAATATATTATGATAAAAATCAGTGCTTCCCTGTTTCTTGAATAGTTATTGTCCTTTTCATCTAGTTCAAACACAACAAAGCAGAAATGCACAAGGAGAGGTACAAATGTGAGATGCACATGCTTTGTCAGTCGGATCCTCATCTTTGCCTACGAATGTACCTTGGTATTTATATGGCCCAGACATTCACATTGTTACGTTGTTCAGGCAAGTTGATGTAGTAGATTGTATATGCAGGTACTTCTGGCGTACACATGAGGCGTCCTATGCCTGTGTGTAAAGTCATGAGAACCATTCCTTGGTTAACACTTCTGCCCCGCTCCGGATATTTATGTATCTTTCTGTAGACTTATGTGCCTTCGGATGGATAAAAGGGTACTCAGGCCAAGACTCTGTTCAAGTCGCCTCTCCAATGCAGTCTTTCTTATTTTGCGTTTACTGCATTTGGATGCTCTGAGAAAGTGAGAAGCTCTAAAAAAAAAAAATACGTATAAGGTAAACTTACCCTCAGTGACAAGTGGTCATGAGCGACAGGATTTAGAAATGTTCCGCAATATTAGGTTAGTTCTTAAAAATACATGTTTGTGGGTGAAACCAAAAGTATACCTGTACTAGCGGCCTGCGGCCGCTACGCTGGCCGTCTAATAGGTGGAAATTTGAATCGTCTATTGCGAGCCTAACGTCTCCTTGACAATCCTCTGTTCATAGCATTACCCATTCGGAACTGAACCGCTTCATTACCTGTATATTTATACACATATAACTTACAGTACACAGGGAGATTCTGTTCCTAAACACCATCATCATGATATACCAGCTGATTGCCACAATCGCCATTGTGAACGCCTCGGTTTAGCACGTTTTCATGAGACTCAAGACGACTTTGCTAATTTCGTCTTCCTAGCACATTCAATACTCTTCCATCACCGATTAGCTCATGGGCTATTGGCGTCAGCGTATGGTACAGACACCAATGATTCTGAACCAGTCCAGACCATTTCCGTACTGTAAGAAATTGTTCGACGGCACAGAGGCATGTTAGTGCATGTGCGGCACAATGCTAGCGACTAATTCCTGAAAATGCCTCGCCGCCATATTAGCAGCAGTGAGCAACACTTTCAGAGCCTCAGAGTAAAGTGTGAGTTGCAGCAGGAGCATTTTTCCGTTGTGCCAGCAATGTGAAACAAATGCCCCCTCCCTACATCAAAATGTATAGCCTGACAGTGCTCGCTGCAGCAAACGACTGTAGTGATTGAGATGACATGGAGAGGCATAACATCCCGAGTTCCGTGGTGTAATGGTAGCACACCTGACTGGCAAGCAGGAGGTCCGAGTTCAATTCCCGGCCGCCCTCCGGCTTGCGACACGAGTGGTGCGTTTCTTGCATCAAGCTGTTCAGCAGGCTGCATGGCTCTCCTATGCCGGAGCTCAGCATTGGCTGCCTCTTGCTGTTCAGCGGTCTGAGCGGCCCTACGCTCCCTACGTACATCTGTTTGCTGTTCATCACTGATTCTAGCCATTACGGCTAGCACCGATTTAGGCACTTCGCACCGCAACAGCAGTGGCAAAGGTTGTTTCCGCACCAGCACCAATCGTTTATTATCTGCAGCGACTGCCTCAACGCCGTCCTGTGGGACCTCTTTCAAAAATTTTTTTTCACGTTCAACCTCACCTCGCAAAAATCGCCACCATTTTGATGGGAGGAGCGGCCCGTTTGCGCGACATATGAAACAAAGAACTTACGTTATTATTTTGATTTCATCAATCATGAGAACTCAATTAAATTGGCCATGACATGAAACGCAAACAGAAAACTATTGCATGGAAGCGATGGCCCGAACCGCCACGCCTGCCCTAACGAAAAAGAATACATAGAATGTATTCACATGGAGAACTTGCAGTCAATCAGTGAAAACGTGACACGCATTCAGGTAGTAGCTCCCTTTGATTGACACAGCTAAGTATGAAGCCTATGGAAATAATAGGATGAGCCACAGCATATGGCTCAGACTGATATAGCTCGATGGACCTAGCGCTAAAAGCGTTGGATGGCCAAGCCTATGGCCTAGAATAGCATAGCCTCATGGACCTGGCGCTTTGAGGGTGAATGGCCTAGCGTATGGCCTGAAGTGACATAGTCTAGTAGGCCTCGCGCGTTGGGGTGACAACCACCACCACAACTCTCAGGCTCTTGGAATTAAAGTATAAGATGGCCTGGAAAGGCATAGCCTTGTAGGCCTGGCGCTTTAGGCCGTGGATGGCCTGGCCTATGACCCAGAATGGCATAGCATCGTAGGCCCGCGCGTTGGGGGTGAGAGCCACGACCACCACCACAACTTTTGACCTCTTCGAATTAAAGTATTAGATGCTACCTAAGTTATCAGGTGTTTGTTCCAATCACTCGTATTGCCTTGCCATAACGTGTTTTGCATGTGTACAGTATATGTTTTAAAGGTGGAAATGAGACGGGAGGAGACAAGAATGTACATAAGAAACAATTTTTTTTTTTTACTCTATATCGTCTTCAGCAGAAAGCAGCTATTTTCATGCCAACACGAGCATTTGAGGGGCTGTTTTCAAGATAAATTTAGTCATTAAGGTTTGGCTTAGCTGAGGATGCTGTTTGGGAAACATTGGTGGCACAAATCAACAGTGTGTCAATCTGAGGATATTTTGAACTGGAGGATGCACTGTCTTCTACCCCCCTCCCCATTGCATTATATGGACCCATTGTATGTACTCTTATTAGACTGAATAAGGGGTCCACTCAAAATGCATCGCCTGACATGAAATGATTTTTAATTTCTCTTTTAAGATTCCATCTTGATAAATTATTATTTGAAACTTGCTTCGTTAACATCTTCTTCGACAATTTCGTAACGTTAGTAATGATGGAAAACTCTCCTACCCGCTCCTTTTTCGATCAACGACACGTGTCATTCGGCACGAAGAAAGGTTACGGTCTAGGCCTTCTTTTCTTGAAAATATACCGTAGAAGCTCCAGGTCAAGCCAAATCAAATACTGTAGAATCGGAAGGGAAGAAACAGAACAAAATCTGTAGTCTAAACTATACGTTCATGATTTATTACGAAAATTGAGTGCTTGCATGTTCAGATATCACCCTATACACCTATGATTTGTTTATATATATTTTTTTCTATTGTCTATAATGGCCTATCTGTGCTTTAGGACACGGAATGAGAAGTTTCTTCCCTCCGACTCCAAAGCAGCTGCCGTCTTCTCTAGTAGCACGAAACATTGAATCAACATTGATTCAATGTTGAAACAACATCCGGATGTTGAATCAACATTGAATCCATGTTGTTTCAATGTTATGTGCTACTCGGGTCTTCACTTGTCCTGAAGATGGCGGTAAAAATCACAATGTGGTCTCTCAATATAACCCCATGACATGTGACTCGCATAAATTTTTTTAAATCTTTATGTTTCTCCTGAATAAAACGTAATATCACATGCGTCATGAATTCCTGCCTCCATATTGCCTTGCCCGCATATATTCCCGCATCAATGGTTTTTCTTCTTAAAAATATTCTTGCCAGCATGATTTCTTTTCCGCGTGATTACTTCTCTACGTGCGATCTCATCATTTCGAAGCCGCGTGTTTTCCTGCCTTAAAGCTTCCGTTTTCTTGCCTAGGAAATTCTTTGATGCGGGATTTCTTTGCTACGTGGAAATAGGTACGTGATTCTTTCAAACGTGATTCTTGCCTACTTGATTCTTGCATATGAGAACGCCGAAGTTAGAGGCATTGATATCTTTTTTTTTTCTAACGCTTTTTTCTTAAATGCTTTCCTTCTTAAGTAGTTTCCTGCCAAAGACTGTTCTGTATTCCACTTTACGTGATTTAGAGGAAGGAAGGGGTTTCTTGCCAACCGGGCTACAAGGGTGGCCCCATGCTTAGGGCTGTAAAATCAGGCTTGTGTTAGGCCTCGATGACACTAACGCGTTTGACATTAACCCCAAGACCAGGGCGATAGCATGAAGTATGTTTAGCCGCGATCAGACTCTATGGTTTAAGTCAAATGTGACTTCCCGTTTGTAGCTATGAAAGCGTGCAAACGGGGTCTACGAGCGTTAAGATCTTTCTGAGGAAAGATGTCTGCCGATCGACTGGCAGGGTCGGTCAGTCGTGACGAGGCGCTTCCTGTCCAGGTCGATGGGAATCATTCTCTTTTAAGGTCTTTGAATCATTTACGGACAAACACCTTCGAAGGACTAATTGGCCAGAAGCCCCTGCAGCACTCAGAGAAATCGGTAAATCTACATGAAATACTTCTCTCAATTTTCGCATTTCGATTTATTTTTCTCAAGAGAAAAAGACATCAACCGGATTTTCGATTTATATCTCTCGCTTCCCGACCCTTCCCGACCGCTTCCCCGAACGCCTTTCAGGCGACCCGTGCCGGGTCGCCTGAAAGGCGTTCGCAAAACCGAAATGCGTCTATAGCCGAGTCGAGAGGGTGGTTTGAGTGGTCTTGCATCGTCTAGACCAGGGGTGCCCAAAGTTTTGGGTCAGCGGGGCCGCATAGCCTGTAGGGAGCGGGCTCGCGGGCCGCATAATTGGAAAAACTTGCTTTTCTGCCTGGTAAATATTGTGACGGATGAGGATGGCATCGGGAGACTCTACTGAATGTCCAGGGTTCGGTGGTGTAGTGGTAGCACACCTGACCGGCAATCAAGAGGCCCGAGTTCAATTCCCGGCCGTTCCTTGGCTTCTTTCGTCATCTCATGCCGTCCGTCTCCCACTTCCCCTCCGTAACAATATTATACCAAATAAAAATATTTTCCCTGGTTTTGACCTAATTCAGCTTGCTGTTTCGCCGAAGTGGGCCTCTTTTATCTTGCCTCACATCATCCAGCGACGGTGGAAATGGAAACTAACGACGAAATAGGAGTTTTTGACGTGATTCTGAACCAAACTGCCAGGTTTGGTTCAGGCCTGGACTGCCAGGACTGTCGAACCATCAGAGATCAGTTCAATCCTCTTGAATGGTTCAGTGGAGACGAATTCCGAAGGTTTTCACTGTCGCCTACTTGTTGTGGACGATGGAGTTGCAGCTGCCACACTAATCATCATTCTCTTTGCAAGGGCTCCCATACCGCTTTTAAACGTGTCTAAGTCTTGGATAAATGTGTTCACGAAACTAATATGATTTTCGATGGGGCATGTCAAAGAAACATTTTCTTAAACATGTTATAGTAAACGTATTCATCGCGTCTTTAAACTATTCTGATTCCTCCATTGGTGCATGTCACCCAAACTATTCGTGAGTCCACTTGTCTTGAAATATGCGATTTTCTTCATCGATACGAGGTATTTTACGCTCTGCTGACATTGCTACAGAAAAATAGAATCCAAAGTGTAATTTGCACATCCACACTGTCGCTTGGTATCGGCTCGACTGATCATCCCAGTCTTCATGGAATGAACGGTTTCGACAGCATTGTGCCTGTTCGTTTGTCCTTTGAGAGACTGATGACATACAGTACAAGCCCTAGAAGAAGAAGAGGCTTGTGCAATATAGTCCAGGTTTTTGCTCCTATTCTCCCTTCACTCCTTCCAGATTGGATTGCAGAAATAGGTAGGGATGTCAGAAGGTGCCATGAAATGTTAAACATTATCTTGATGTGAATCTCCTACTGCGGTATGTTTGCGATGCCGTGGCGGCCATTGGGAGGAATCTGACAGCATGAATTTATCAGAGATATTTCTGCGTGAAAAAAATGCAAAGAACGTGCAACGCATATTTTCAGCAGAATCTGGCAGTCCTGCGTATTCTCT